TTTTTCCTTTCTCTGTTCCCTGATAAACCTGTCCTTTAAAAATGTAAAATAAGGGGGGAAACCCACAAAATATTAAGAATGAATATGTAATCTCATCTGTATCCAGCAATCAGCATATCACAAGAACACGTAAAATGCATAATTATGCCAAATTTAGAAAATACCAAAATTGTAACTTTAAATTATGCCATGGTTATTAATATCACTATTATGCACTTCAATTTTTTTTAAGAGATTTTACAATTTGAATGGGGAGTCAAACAAGTTATTAGGGAAAGAGGCTTTGCCTGCTTCTTCATATCCTTGCACTGGAATGTTCCATGAAAGCAGGATCATTTTCTGATTTGTTTATTGCTATTCCCAGCATGCGAAACAGTGCTTGGCATTTAGTAGGTGGCAAAATATTTTTTGAAGTAGTGAATTGAAAAGATAAAATGTTACAAAATAATTTCAGAGTCAAGAATTCCCTGAGAAGAAATTTGAAGCAAAAGACATCCGTTTTGCTTAGAATAGAAAAGTACTAACCAAACTGTGATGCCAATTTGCTCCTGGAAATAGTTTTATAGCATTTTATAAAAACAAAGATTGTGTTCTGGGCAATGGATGCTATTTTCATTCTTTTAAAGCTAGTACTCTAAAGCAGAAAATTCCAGACTTTGGATAAGAGAACTTAAGCGCAACAATTTATAGAATCACTATACTTGGTTTATTTTCTAATTATATACCACTGCTATATCAATATATCTGTAACATCTATAAAATAGTAAATGAAAAGATAAAAAAAAAACAGGGAAAACTACTCAAGTTAATCATCATACCTTTAGAAATAAATTTTGACTCTAGTAAGAGGATAAAATTAATTTGAATTCATCATTATTAAATGTCCCTTGTTAAAATAGGAAAGCTTTTTATTGGAATATCTTTTCATCTGTGAGCACTTAATCTTTATTTTTATAGAAGAATAAATTTTAAAGACAACTGTCCTTCACTGATTAAGGAGGCTATATCTGCCATCCTGGGTTAAGTTCCTACTTATTCAAGGTCTTCTTTATAATTCTATAAACTTATTTATCCTGATCTTCTGCAGACAATCAGGAAAAGACCCTTTATGGAGCATCAAGGTGAAAACAAATGGATTTCTATAGCTATAATAGGTTTAACTCTTATTTTCACAAGTGAAAATGCTACACAGGAAAATTATAAAAAACTTTTAAATTACTTTTTGTACAGAGATGAAAAAGAGAACTTTCAAAAGTGCTAATTTTAAGTTTTAAAAAACACTTTTATTCTTCCTGCTGGAATCAGCACCATTAGGAATCTGCTACAAGCAGACTCAGTTGGAGGCAAAGGGAAGGTACACTAAGGCAGTGGCTGATGGAGGGTCGAAGAGGGCAAGGGCAGGCTCTCGGTGGGCCTGGCAGTCTAGACAATAACGAGAGACAAGGCAGGTAGTTGGTATGTTAGTACGCGGATGAGAAACTGGAACAAAGGAGCAGGTTGGAGGAAGAGGAGATAATGAGTTTAGATTTGAATGTAGTGAGTGGTGCAGACACCTGAAATTCAACCCTGGAGATCAGAAAGAAACTTGAAAGCAGAAGTGAGTGGGCAGTGGGCATGCACTGGCAGGCCGTGTGCAATCCCCGAGATAGGACAAGTGGATAGAACAAGGTGCGAAAACATCAAGCAAACCTCAGATCACCAGGGTGCGCGAAAGGGGAAAAAAACACAACTGTCAATTAAGAAGAAATGAGAGAAGTGTAGGAAAGAGAATAAAAATTTCAAGTAGAGAATAGTGAGGTGCCCAGAAAGGCCAGGCCTGGGGGATTTCCATGGAGAACTAGTCACTACCTGGGTCTTTCCCCAGACTCTTGATAGTGCGGCTGGCGTATTTCAAAATGGGCTGGTATGTTTCAAGTATTATTTGAATATAAATAAATGCTGGGTAGTACCCAAGATGTTGCTTTTAGGACTATTTTCTAAAATTTCTATTTAGCTAAAATTTCTGTTTTCCTGGCAAAGTTATCAAGTTGCTTAAATGCTTGTGTGCTTAGTACTATCTATCAGAACAAAGTTCGTTTTCCAAAATGCAACTGAAGTCACTTTTTTGCTCTCATTCTCATACACTTTCTTCTTCCTTAAGTGTTGCCACTTTTGATCTTCAAGTCCTCTTTTCTCTCCTCTCCTGCCCAGGAGGCCCCTGAGTTGAGCTCTACCTAGGCGACCCACCAGTTCTTAAAGCACAGTGCAAGTGTAGATGCCTGGGGAAAGAAGGCAGATGGACACCTGTCTGGAATTTCACTAAAACCTCAATAAAACTGCCTAAAAAGTGTTCCTTAGATTTGTAAGGCAAAAGCAGACATATCCTGTACATACATTCTAGCTGGATGCCATATGGGCATAGTGAATGTGAAATTAGACCAAAGTTTAAACTTTTTTATAATTACAGATTATTTTTATACTTAAAAAAAAATACCTTCTGAGCCCTGAGAGCTGCCAGACAGAGCCTATGGTCACTGTGCTTCATATTTATAAAACTAAATGGATGCTACTTTCATTCAGGAATGAAGATACTGATCATTTCTGATTCTTTCTGCCATTCTAGGTACTGCTGAGAATGATGGTGTAAACAATTTGCTTGTCTTTCTTTATCATTGATAACATTAATCTCCTCAGTACTTCTCCTCAGTACTTGAAGATTTGGTTGATAGTAACAAATCAATTTCACTGAAATAATTCCACAAGCCAAAAGCTTTATGTACTGCGTAATAATGACGTTTTCCAAATATTTTCATACCAGTCTATGCTTTTTGCCTTACCTTATATTTTTAAATTGTAGTATGTTTACCCATACTTATTGCTGCAAAATCATTTGGGAAAAATTTGTCCTTAAACTTTGTATCGAAGAGCGTTAACAATGGTACAAGGTATCTGACTTCCAATTGACCATTTCAAAAGTACTGAATTTCCACCGATATCTTAGCTTTTACTGCACCCCATGCCAATTTCACTATTTTCTCAAGAGTAGAATGACCAAATGTCTATAGCAGATAACATGTGAGACTATTTGTACTCTTCAAGGTATATCTACTTGGTTACCTTTAAGAAGGTTCCAGGAAAAGAACAACTTTCTCTGTGTGCCACCACTGGTTACTACTAGGTCCAGTGACTGTTTCCTTCAGAATGTGGTATTAAGGCTACTTTGCTGAAGCAACTCCTTTTAATACATGTGTTTTTCTTCCATTTTGCTGGCATATCTTGCAGAAGTATGCAGCAAGGCATCTTCAAAATACCTTCTATGTCATGTAATTTTCTTTAGAACTAAGGAAGTTTTCACTCCTGGAATCTAGACTCAGTGGTATTCTGAATCTAGGGAGAAGGGGCCCCGGTGCTAGGATCCATAGAAAATTGGCCCTCGTCAAGCTGCCCACCTCACATGGTGAGGAGCACACGGGGCCTAAGAGGGGTGAGCCCACTTGGCCTATGCCCTATTCCCTCCCAGCTCTGTTCCAGATGCCTCCAGATCAAGTTCCCAGACCAAATGGCCTGTAGGCCAGAGCCAGAGCCATTTCCTCAGGTCAACCCACCTGACTACAGACCAGGCTACTGTTGCGTGCACACCCAACCCCAAGAGAGCTCAGGGGGTGGCTGCTTGTTGCAGTATAGTCGGAGCGTGGACATGGAGTCTGAGATGTATGCGAGGTCTCTCCAAGGAGACCGAGGGTGGGGCAGGAAGGCCGCAGGCCTGGGCTGTCTCTTTCTACAACTCCATGCTCCAAAACAGAAACAAAGAAGTACAAGCATCCTAAACTGGATTTTGGACTTCCAATTCTTCACAATATCTATGCCACAGTAAGAAGATTTTGTGTTTTTTGTTTGTTTTTTTGTAAATATGTTGTATAATTTTAAATTATGTGGACATGTTTTATGGGTGTCTGTTTCTATTCTTGCCTCGGGCTCAACTGTTAAAGTGAACCTGTGTAGAAGTTTTATAAATACTCAACAGTACCCAGACATCACACATTGAGTAGATATAAGAAGAACTTTGAATTAGTCTTTCCCCAGATTTTGATATGATTGAATCACTTAAAAGTTATTCAGGTTCCAGCTTGTACAACACCTCTTGTAGCCAGATTCCCTTTCTGTCAGAAAAGTTAGAGTAGGCAGAATCCCATTCTAAGCTCCCTTTGTTCTTCTCCCTCACCCCACCGCCCACACTGGAGATTGAGTTTCCAGCTGAGTTCCCTGGAAGCTTGAGCGCTCACAGAGCTCCATGCTAGCAAAATCCTGTGTCCTCCCAACGTGGCAACACCAGGCCAGCTTCTGCTCACCCAAAGGAACACTCTCTGCTTAAGAAGATAAAACACAGCTCAGGAGCCAACAGCACCCAGCTCCTCACCCTTCTCCAGGCGCTCCTTCCCCTCTGTATGTAACCACAGCACCCCTGCCGCTGGGGAAGCAGCTACTTTTAGGATCTTGGCCTGATTACCAGCCAGCTTGGTATAGCCTCCGATCATAAACTCCTTTGGGGAAAGACATTCTTGGGTCTGGGCAGGAAAAGATCACATTTTGTCATGCACACTCTCAGGGCAGCCTTCCCTAACCACTTAATATGAGATAGTCCTCAGCTATAACTATAATTTTGTGGCTTGAATTGTCCTAGGCCTGGCCAGTATGTTACCTATATATATTTTTTTATTCTGTCCCCAGCTTTAAAAAGAAAACAAACAAAACAATTTCTTTCCTTCTGACTCCATAAGATATTTCAGGTTCATCCCTATACTTTTATACTCCAGCCCAAGAGGTTTTAATTTCTATTATTCTCTAGTCCTCTTAATATCCAATAATCACATCAATTACATGCAAAATTATAACAGACTCAAAGTTTGGCTGTACCTTAGTGACTAGCTGCTATCCCTATACACGTCTAGCTCCCCAATAACCAGAGACAAGCAGCAGGATCACAACCATGAATAATAGTTTGTAATAATATCAAAAGTTTTAAAATATTAAGCACCAAATATATTGTTTTGGTGCTATGTTAAGACCTTAGAAAAACATCCATAAAATGCAGAACAGGAGACTACTATATTTTTGTTACAGCTATTATTTGTTAGTTTTATTAACTCTGACATTATCCTGTGCAGGTAAAAGGAAATGTTACAGAGTGCGACTTCCTGCACCTTATGCTAATGTCCTCAAGGAAGTTACTCCACTATTCTAAACCTCAGTCCTTCATCTGTAAAACAGGTATCATGGTGCTTACCTCTTAGGGTTGCCCTGAGATAGCCTATACAGCAGTTGGTGTGGTGCCTGGCACATTATGAGAGCTCATTAATACCCAAATCTCACCACTGTCCTGGTGAGAACATAGCCTTTTACAGATTCTGAAGGGCGTTAGAAAGTTCCATGGGGCAGATAAAAGAGTTCCTCTTAATTGAGCAAAGCAATAATGTTAACAAATTTTTTAATCCATTTCCTTTCCAAAAATCAGCTTTACTCAAGTAATGCTAGGGGATTTCCAGTTATCTGGGGGAAGGAGGAAGGTCCGGGGGACTGGGCCTAGGGCTCCAATCCAGACACAACTGCTCATTCTCCACATCTTCCTTATCTTTAGATACACCCCCCACCCCCAAGTTCATAGATGGGCTCATTTTCTAAAGCATCTTTAAAGAGAAAAAGAACTTCATTACACTGAAGACACAGCAATTAGTAATGCTCTCTGAGGGCTGAGTTAATTTCTGACTAACATTCAATATGCAGATGGTTCGTTGAAGCGAACCTCACTAGCTAATGGTTTTAACATAACTTGGTGAATTCCCAAAGATTGTTACAGTGGGGAAAAAAAAGAAAAGAAAACCAATATCCTTTGTCTTCCAAAAATAACCTAGAATCCTGCTAGTGGGCTTTTTTTTTTTTAAATGTTTAACTTTTCTGGATAACAATTCAACAATATCTGCCTAAAGCCTTAAAATATGCATTCTTTTTGAAAAGTAATTACAACTCTAGAATTTGTCTTAACAAATACAAAACTGTAAGGATAAAAACGTTCACTACAATATCATTTACAGTATCAAACCATCAGAAAGCTCAATACATCCAATAATGGGTGATTGATTAAATTATGGTAGAGTTATACAGGAGAAAAGTAACAATAATAATGACATAGACCTACATTTTAATATGGAAGGTTTCTCATGATTTGAATAGACACCACAGATTATAAAAATAAATATGAACCCAGGTCTTTTTTAGACTATGTACATATATATGTATGTGTGTGTATATATATATTGATATTCCTAATAATGGATCTATGTAACACAACCTTGTGTAGAAGAATCTATACCATAATATTAAGTGATTAAGGCTAGGTAAAGAATTTAGGGATAATTTAAAATTTTCCTCTTTATACTTTCCTCCTTTTCTTCAGTTTTTTTAAAGCAGGTATTACTTTTACAATCACAAAAGTAGTTTAATACCAATCAATCAATCATTGAACCATACAAAATACCTAAATCAGACTTGCTTCCTATCTTCAGCATAGATGATAATTACCAAAAAGTCCTGGAATAAAAAGAGAAAAATACAGCACTTCATTCTGGGATAAAAGGCCTATAATTCTCAAATTAGAGAACCCAGAAACTTTCAGGAAATGATGTCAAGCGTAACTACTTAGCGTAGATCTGAAGTACAGAAATGTATCTGAGAGGGAATTTCTTCCCCTTTTACCAGTCTCCTGAGTAGAAAGAAACACAACAGGTAACGCAGACTTTGAGCTGGAAAAAAACTTACTGCAGTGGACAATCTGGATGCCAATGTCATTTCCAAGTTCCCTTTGAGACCAAGAAGTGCAGGAACTAAAATGAAAACTTCTGTTACTTTTTTGAACACCTCCCAATGCTGCAAGAAAAAAAGAATTTTCTGACACTCCTTTAAAAACACTTTAAAACAAAGACATTTCTAAAAATCTCTTTTCCAACTTTTCTACCCAACATTGCATCTACATTTTTAAAAAAGATTTATTTAGTTATGTATGCATAACTGGGTACAGGCCAGAGGTGCAGGGGTGGTGAGAGGATTCACCAGAGACAGAGTGGGGAGCAGGAAGGCACACAGATGAAGTACACTGCTGAGGGGAGAGGAGGGGAGACAGGAGAGGTCTGCTGAGCCATGTGGGTCACCTCCGGGGCTGGGGATTGAACTCGCGCTGAAGCAGTTGCACTCGCTTTCAGTGCTGCGTCCTAACCCATTGCACCACCAAGGGGAGTCCCTGCATCAACATTTTGAACGAACATCTAGGTTGTTTAGTCAGTGACTGTTTGACTTACCTCCACCCTCCCAAGCTCTGAAACTGTGAGTGAATTTAGAAGAATGAGAGCTGGCCATAGAGACTGCAAGTCCAATTTGTTCCAGTTTTGATACTCCTAAGCTTTACCCTGTCCCTTTATTATGGCAAGAGACACTGCAGCATGAGTTCAATCCCTGGCCAGGGAGCTGACCCACATGGCACAGCAGACCTCTCCTGTCTCCCCACTTCTCCCCTCAGCAGTGTATTTCAGTACATCTGTCTGTTCTGCTCCCCACTCTGTCTCTGATGAATGCACTCACCCTTATACCTCTGGCCTATACCCCAGTTCTTGCATGCATAAGTAAAGAAATCTTTAAAAAAAAAAAAAAAACAGGCCTGAAGAAAGTACTGGGGACCTTATAGTAGCCCACATTCCTTAACATGTCAAAAAACTAACAATTGTATCCACATTTATTTTGTCTTAAGAGTTCCATGTGAAATGAGAATAGGACAGTGGTGGGGGTGGGGTGATGAAGAATAAGATAATACGAATAAGAACATTTTATTGACAATATATAAAATTCATCGATTTCTTATATAGCAAACACTGTTCTCAAGGTTACTCATTCACCCTCCACAACAAGCCTATGAGATGGGTTATCATATTTTATTAGATCAGACATAACTCAAATATATTTTACCTAGGTCATCATTTATTATTATTTTTTTAATATAACAGTTTATTTTTACATCATTTTGTGCCTTTTTCCATCAGTTGTAATCCCCGTGGGCTTCCCATCACCAAATCACCCACGTGCCTTCACCATAGTCCAGTGCATTCCCACCCATGTTTATCCCATTCCCCACCCTACCCCTGTAAAATGTGTCTGGTACACAGTTTTTCATTATTCCCCCTCGTCTAGGTCTTCATTTTAAGACACTTGTCTGTTTGATTTGATTTTAAAAACACCAAAGTGTAGAAACCCAAGTTTTTTAGCAGTCACATGACACCACATGTGATGTCTGTGGGGATGCTCTCTCTGGGGTTCCTACCACCCTTCCATATTCAAATCAGATCAAAGAGTCTTGTGAGAATTACTATGAAGTCACTCACACTTTAGCACGGGTGTGATAATGTTAAGTTATCACTGACTTCCTATCCCAAGCCAAATAAATTCTACCATCTTTTTCCTATACCTGCAGAAGAATACAAACAGACATCCCCAAATGTCCTCACTTCACAATGCCCTTAGCGGCTCCAAACATCTGTGTGTGTGCGTGTGTCTGTGTCTAACCAAGATGACACTGTTGATGAAACTGTATGTGATTCCAAAATGTGGAATCCTTCTTTTTTTGGTGTTTGGTAGTTAGAGGTTTGGGCTGTGGAGGGAGATGACGTGGGTTAAAACTCTGCCTGCTCTACGTTCACCGTGTGACCCGAGAACCGGTGCTGTTCTGTCTTCATCTCTACCAGGGATGTAGCTGTGCCCGCTTCAAAGTCAGGTGCACGCTGTGCTTGCACACAGGGGAGCAGCAACAATGAGTGTTTGTGAGTGATGACACCCAGGCATGTCATCAATTAATTATCCTGTCAAGGCAGGGAGTCAGAAAAAGTCCAGAAAGGGGCAGAAAATAAATTACACCCATTTGGGAGCTTTGCCATGATACAGACATGCCCTGAGATTTTACAGATGATTATGAGCTGCTAGTTTTCCACCAGAACCTTCCCTAAGTCAACTTCAAATCTCACCTAATTGTGTGCTGTTGGTGCTACCCAGACCCAGGAGAGCACAGGACCGGCACATCAAAACTTCAAAATGTATTGATGTCCAAAAGGATAAATATAAGTGAAACTTAAAAAATAAGGATAATGAATTGATGAACATATTCATGGAGTCTGAACTAAACAAAACGTTTTAAAAATACAATTGATAAAAGAATTAGGCAAATTCTTAAAAGAATTTTAAAAACATACCACAAATCTAAGAAGTTTTATTGCTTATTTTCGCTTAGTTTAGAAAACTAAACCCTTCATTTTTAGACCTAACACATGACTGACCTCGTTCATAATTACAGAACTGCAGATTACAAGGTGATCAATTTTCATCTGTGAGGCTCATAAAGGTCAAAAAGTTGGGTAACACGCTGTTGGGTATAACATAAGGAAATCGGCTCTTTTTATACTAAGGGTGAGACTACAACAGTTTATCTACTTTGGGGAATACGAAAACATCAGTCAAACACAAAATGCACGTAATTTTCAACTCAGAATTTCCCCTCAAGGATTTCTAGCCTACGGGTAAAATCACACATGCATTCAAACAAGTACATATAATGAGTCTACCTCGTTATTGCTCATAATAGCAGAAGTTCTGAGGCAATTGAAATCTCCATTAGATAACTTGGTAGAAAAAATATGACACATCCTTGCAACAGGGCATCAGGCAGCTGGAGACGCATTTGGTGCATCGGAGGACGCAGGAACTCCCAGATAAATCAAGAGCAGGATGAAGGGCTCCTCAAAGGCTGGGTTGTTTTTCAGCAAGATGTTTAACACATGTATGTGTATATATTAGCACACAGGGGGGTATACATCTGTGTTTATATATGATGTATGTGTGTATTTAATGTTTATTGAAGGAGACAGAAGAAATAGTCGCAGTAATTTCAAGGGAAGGGAGAATAGGGGGGAGAAGGACTTCTCTCTCTATTACTCATTCTTCCATATGGCATAAATGTACTCTACCAAGTACAGATACATTACTTTGTTCATTAAACTTTGCCAAGTTCTTAAATTTGGGGTCAGAATGAGTAAAGGGATGTAATAAGGCACTCACACAAAGACAGGTTAGACTGAAACAAGATTACTCCATTGGGTAAGACTGAATATGTAAACAGGCTTTCTGTATCTCTAAAGATCCAGAATTCCCATAGTACTGATTTTTTTTCCTCTACGGGAATGTCTATTTAGCGAACACTAGAGTTACAATCTATGTATTTGTATTCTCCATTAACACAGAAGGTCTGGACTTCAGAATAAGCATTTTAAATTTGAAAACCTACCCTATATTTGCTCTCTAAACCTTAATCGATTTCCCATCTACAAAACTCAATCTTGCAATTTTTCCTTCAACTCAAAACAGGTAATACTGAAATATTTTTCCAGCAAACATCAATTGAAGAAGAAATGCTGAAAGCAGAGAGGCAGAGGAAGAGAAGTCCTTCCATCAGAGAGGGAGGGATGTCCTACTCAATAGGAGGGCAAGAACGGCCATGCAACTACCTCCATACACACGCCCACTGCGACTCCTAGAATATCTACCTTAATACACGAATGGCCACTGAACTCTCACCTAAACTTGATCCAGCTGTGGCAGCACAAGTAGCAGCACCTGCTATGCACCACGCTGTACCCCTGGAGGCCCTAACCCCCACGCTGACTGTATTTTCAGATAGGACCAATGCAGAGGTGATAAAGGTCAAACGAGGTTAAAAGGGGAGATCCTAATCTGACAGGGTTAGTACCTTTAGAGGATGAGTGAGAGGTACCAAAGCTCGCTCACGCCACATGTGAGAGTGCATGGGAAAGGCAGCCAGCTGCAAACCAGTTGGATAGTGCTCATTAGGCACTGAACAGGCTAGCACCTTGATCTTGAATTTCCCAGCCTCCTGAACTGTAAGAAACAAATGTCTCTTGTTTAAGCCAACAAGTCTATAATATTTTGTTACTGCAGTCCACACAGACTAAGCACCAAAAGCAAATGATATCTTTTTTAACCTTTAAAAGGGGTCTTGAACTCTTATTATTTTATGCTCACCCGTAACTCTCAGCGGATGGCAAATACTTTCATAGGCATTAACAAGGTATACTGTGTATAGAGGTTTACCCTGTTATCTGAAAGTAGAACATTCCTATTTTATATGGTTTGTCATATTATTTGGGGGGGGGGTCTGGGAAACACTACTGCTATTAACTTACATGATAATTTTTTCAACAACCCCAGGCCCCTAAAATAACCTACCAAATCAAACCAAATAAGAATGTTCTACTTTCAGATAGCAGGGGACACCTGTGGTGGTCAAAAGGACATTGAAGTTAGACTAAGATGCGAGCCCCAGATCTATCATTTAATAGTGTAAAGTTCTGCATTTTATAAAATGAAGATTATAATACCTATCTACTTTTCTTATCCATATTTATTTTTAAGCTGGTGTACATACAGAATTTGGTACAGTGCCTAGCCTATAACAACACGAATAAATAACCATTGTTAACATTTACTCAACAAATATTTGTCAAGAAATAACTTAATGCTAGGTATGTATGGTTAAACAACCTACCTAAAAACTAAAAATGATGTGTCCCTGCTGGGACAAGTTTCCAATAGAAGACTGAAACTAATATAATTTAGGGGATAAGCAAAAGTCTTTGAAGATGTTAAAAAGTTCTTTGAATTCTGAGTGAGAAAGAGAATATTCTAGACAAAGACAACAAGACATGATGGTATATGGAACATCCAAAGATCTAAAGAGCAATGCAGTTAAAACACACCAAGTGGGTAAAAGGTAGACCAAGAGAGCTTAGAAAGGGAGACATGCTACACAGCCTTGAGAACCTTAGGTTTCTTTCCTATTTATTGCTACTATAATAAATTACCGAAAAAGTGGTGCTTAAAACATTACAAATTTACTATTATGTTGCAATTTTGGAAATGAGAACTCTACAGTGGGTCTCAGTAAACTAACATCAAGGTGATAACAGGGTTGATTTGCTCTGGAGGCTCTAGGGAAGAATCTCTTTTCCTTGCCTTTTACAGCTTCTAGAATCTGCATACACTACATGGCATCTGACCCCAATGTATATTCAAAGCCAACAACAGCCAGTTGCACATCATGCTGAAAGTGACATCCGTCCCTCACTTAGGAAGTCTTTGTGATTACATTGGGCTCAACAGACAACCAGAGAATATCTCTCCACCTCAGTGTCAACTGATTAGCAACCTTAACTCCATCGGCATGCAACAACCTATTTTCAGTTTCAAGGAACAGGCTATGGCTATTTGAGGGGTGGAGATGAGGTAAGGACTTTATTTTGCCTACCACAGACCACCATAAAGACTTTCTCAAGGAGTCTTGATATTTCTCCTTATACCCTTTATTTCCTTCATACTTTCTCTCAATAGGTAGTGATTCTACTTAGACTTTTTAAAGAAAATTTATCTCTGAAACACACTGTAAGTTGTCTCCCTACTTGTTTCCCACTGTTGAGCTCAATAACCAAAAAAGTGCCCAACCCACTGAACAATCAACGAATATTTAAACAAATGAGTTTCGTATTTAACCTTAAATGTAATGGGAAGGTATGAAGAAGTAGTTGGTGGTGGTTTCTACCACCTTCGATTCTGACCTACAACCCAGATAGGTCATCTATTCATACACTTTGAAAATGGAAAAAAGAGAACACATATATTGAAAGAGGTGACCCAAGGTTAAGCAGCTGGTGAAGGAAATTGCTAGAACTAGGATCCTCATGTCCCAATATTTAGTATACTAACAGGAACGTGTGTTCTGAAGTCAAAGGTCTTCTTTTTTATGCTTCTTGTGCTTTCTAATGAGGCAGACAGCAGAGAGTAAAGATCATAAATGCACAGCGCCACAGACGGTCACAACATGAACAGGCTATGCAATCAGCAGGTAGATCAAGAAAATTAAAGTTACTAAAATGTTCCCCAGCCTTGTTTTCCAGTAACCTAAGAGTTTTAATTCTCTGTCAATAAAGGAGTAGGTCTTTTTGACAAGGAGAAAATAGAGGTACAGAAGTCCAAGAAAGAACAGAGTCTTGGAGAATGCTTACTTTTCTAACAAAAACAGCAATGTGAGCCAGGGAAGAAAGCCACAAGAGCAGTCATAAAGGCAGACATATGACAGAGAACTAAAGAAAGAATGAACAAATATCAATCCAAGAACAGAAAATCAAAAATCCCAGCGAGGTGGAGTTGGTGTTTCAGCCTGCTTTTCCAAGGAGATATTTGCTAGTTCCAGAAGAGGCTGAAAGTCTCATTAGAGTCCTGACACTTAAGGGGCCTAGGATGGCCAAAGTGGGTGATCATACCTGCCAAGGAGAGTTGGAAGGGAAAGGGGATTCTGGAAAGATGCCATACGTCACACCATGATCCAATAGCATCTCCAACTTAATATGAAGGGAAAACTCAGTAGACTCATTTTCAAAAGAATGCAGCCCAGATTTAAATGCTTTCAATCTCTGGGAGTGGATTCAAGTATTCTCAGGCTTCTCGCCCCCTAGGTACCTGTCACAACAAACAAAACTCTTCTATAGAAAAAGGTGATGTCATCCTAAACCAAAAATCATTTCTACAATCCTTTCAAGTATAGTGTCCAGCACACAGTGAAAGGTTAATATGGTATTAGGAGATAAAACAACATAAATGAGAAATAATAAAAACAACATAATACAGAAACAGACTCACAGAGTGAGGTTTCAGATATGGTGTATTGATGAGTGAGCACTACAGTTTAAATCTGCTTTCTGTCTTGAGGGAAATAAAAGATAAGACTGAGACTTTCAGCAGAAAACCAGAAACCCTTAAGTAGAATAAGAACATGTTTGGGAAAAGGTCAAATGAAAAATCTAGGACTTAAATATGCAGTAACTGAAGTAGAAATGAAGCGAATCAAAAATATACAACATACCAAAACTAACACAAATATATATACACACCCACACACCTGCAACCAACAAATACAAATACAAGTATATACAAATATATATACAAACATGTATATATATACACACACATATACACCTGCAACCAACAGAAAATAAAATTTCAAAAGAACTACATGTTACTTAAAATAGTATAAAAATATCAAATAGCTAGAGAGGAATCTAACAAAAAATGTAAACAACCTGTTTTCGGAAACTATAAAAGATCATCAGGAAAGTGAAAGATGCCCTCAATGACTGGAGGGCTACACACCACAGGCTCTTAGACTCAGCATCGTGAAGAGCCGATCTCCCCCTAAGGAGCACTACTTCAGTGTGAACTGAATCGCAAATGCAATGTTTTTTTGTGAAAACTGACAAGCTTTTAGACGTGGAGCTGCAAAAGGAAAGGGAGAACAAGGAAAGAACATTGTTGGTTAGCTATGGAGACTGCAAACTAGAGGAATTTAGTGTGGCACTCGAGTCAAGATACATAAATATACCAAAGGAACAGAACAGTGATTTCAAAACTGGACCCACACATAAATGGGCACTGGATTTTTAACAAAGGTTTTGGTTATATAACAGTGCAGATGTAAAAATCTGGTAAAGGCAGAAAATACACACACACACACACACACACACACACACCTCCCTCACAGTGTATTCCGAAAAAAGATTCAAAAGAGGGAACGATCTAAATGTAAAAGCAATACAGAAATGTTTCAAGGAGGCAACATAGGAGAATGTTAGTTACCACAGGTTAGAGGAAGATCTCTTACGCAGAAGAGAAAAAGCACAAACCACTAGAAAGTAAGGGGGAAGGACTATAATAAAATCCAAACACACCCTGAGGGAAAAGGCCAGCCACAGAGGAGCAAGAGAGCTGTAATACTTTCAGCGGAAAACAAAAACCATAAAAAGGGATAAGAACATGACCATGGAGCTGAAAGGCCAACGTTCAGGATACTCAATGAGGAGAAGATCAGAAATATGGACACAGAAACTTTAATGTCCAATCACCAGGCACTCTCATCAGTCATCAGAAAAATCCCCTATTAAAACTGCAATGACAAATTTCTCAAATTAAAAAGACTGTTGATACCTGGTTAAAAACAACAACAACAACATACAATACCAATTCAGAAGTGAACACAACCACTCTGAAGAGCCATTTGACATATACTAAAAACGTAATATCAGCATGTCCATGTCCACATATGTACCCAGTAGGAGTGCACACTGAGAGACACACATGACCCTCACCCTTGTGTCCCTCCAGAGCAAAGGGATAAGTTGTGGTATCTTCATACAATGGACCACTTCTAGCAATAAAATGAACTGCAATGTCATAAATCTTACGTAATGCTGAGACAAAAAAAAAAAGCCAGACACAAAGATATATACTCTATACTTCCAAAGTGGGCCCTCCCTGGTGGTACAGTGGGTTAAAGCACAGCAGTAAGAAGCTAAAGCCACTTCAGCATGAGTTCGATCCCCGCCTGCCCCGGAGGTGACCACGTGGTGCAGCAGACCTCTCCTGACCCACCCGCTGCTCCCCTCAGCAGTGTACTTCATCCATCTGCCTGTTCTGCTCTCCACTGTCTCTGGTGAATCCTCTCACTGCCCCTGCACCTCTGGCCTGTACCCCAGTTCTATACGCATAAATAAATAAATCTTTTTTAAAAAATAAAGAATATAACCTTTATTGAGGTTTTCATTTAACTAATTTTCCCATTTTTTGATTACTTTACCATTGTAATATTTTATGACAAGCTACTTCATGGTGACAATGAGACTATTCTCTTAGACCTAAAGAGATAAAAAAAACACCAAAAATTGGGCTGATTTTCTACAGGGTCAATATCAGTTCATTTTACTAAGGGACAAATTAAAGTTCAAGTAAATGGTTGAGATGTGTCCCCCATATTCAGCACTTCAACCAACAACAAAACTGAAGTTTAAAAAAGATAAAAACCCACCTGTACTACATCCAAAACCATGCCAGCTGAAACTGTTCCAAAACCAGCTAGCAAAAACGGCACAAGTATTTGCAACGCCATCACTCCGCTGGATTCCTTTGGTAATTTCTGATTTGTTTCCACAATGACATCATCATCCCCGTCACTGGACAAGTCTTCATTCTGCAACATGGCAGTTGTTTCTGAAGTCTCCCTTCCATCGCAGTAATTATAGTTGGCGTAATCATCATACTTGGGGCTGCCCCCTGCTGGTGAGTGACTGTTATTGCCATGGAAGGGCTGATCTGAGAAACTGTGGTACTCCACGTGCTGATCAGCTCTATTACTAAATGTTGGTGCTGGAGATGCTAACCCATCTTGCCAAATGCTGTTCGCTTTCTTGTGCCTGTCTTCCTGGTTTTTCTGGTAAATTACTGGAACCATACTCAATAGCAAGTTTAAAAACTTATCTGATTGAACTGTATTCAAGCTTAAAGTCCAGTCGACAAAGCCTCCTACACTACTTGAACTACCGCTTGCTTTACCAGTAATAGCTCTTCCTTTGTTATTAGTCATATTGTCATCGCAAAAAGACCCTGGGCTCCTAAAACCTCGAGCTTTCTGAATCAGAGCAAGTGAACCAGAACCACACAAACACTCAATTTAAATCAAGATGCTGCCATCATTTTGTAGAAAATACTTCTGCAAATAAAAGATGTTTAGAAGTTCCACAGAGGGGCTGGATCTGGAAAGAAAAAATAAAGCATTTTTAGAAAGCTGATTAACTCGATACTTCATATTTTCATAAAAGTATAAATTATGTTCATAAACCAGCCCTAGGGTACTGTTGTATAACTCTGTGAGTTGAACATATAACTGCTTTGTGCCACACAGCTGCTTTATACACAGAAACACAGTATGGAGTTATTTTTTATAGTCTCCTGGTTAAAAGTCTTATCTTTGCATACTTTATATAATGATACCTATGGAAAGTCTTTGTCCCTGAAGTTCTAGAATGCAGAAATTGGTTAAATAAGTTTTATTTCTATGACTATAGAGAGATCGCAGGATGAAATTGCTACCACCCTTCACATATGTCAGTAGGTAAGGGTATAAGGCTTTACATTTTAAACATATTCAATAACAAGCCAAGTTGGCTTATTTACAGTTTAATGTAATATACATTTTATTAACATATGAAGAAAACAATGAAGCATTACTGTAAAAACACTTGATAAACATGCTGAGTACTTGTGTAGGGCATTGATTTCGCATATAAAATTAAGGTGGCATGATATTTGTAGTTTTAAAATACAAAAAAAAAACATTATAATTGATTTAGGAATATAATCCCCCTGTTAAAGAAGAAATAACTCAAACAAAAAGGGATACAAATATTCCTATTCGGTCCTCCCTGGTGGCACAGCGAGTTGGGACGCAGCACTGCAAGTGAGCTGCAGCCACTTCAGTGCAAGTTCAGTCCCCCGCCCCGGGCATGACCCACATGGCACAGCAGACCTCTCCTGACCTGCCCTCAGCCATGTACTTCATCCACCTGCCTGTTCTGCAACCCACTCTGTTTCTGGTGAACCCTGTCACCACCCCTGCACCTCTGGCTTGTACCCCAGTTCTGTATGCATAAATAAATCTTTTTTAAAAACTATTAAAAATATTCATATTCACTTAATCAACTTTGCAAGCCAACTGAAAGAAAGTTGGTTATGCACTTATCAATGAATGCCCTTCTAAATGTGCTCTGACCTGCAGTCCCAGCCCTTGACTGGCTGGCCAGGGGCCAGACTCTCTCTGAAGACTTTGAACTAAGAGATATAGGCACATACAGCAGCTGGTTGGAGAAGGATGGGTGCCTGCAAGGCCACACACACATCACCTGAGCCGGTAGAGAGGAGGACCACTTAGGGGCAGGGGCTTTCAAAGCTGTCAATCAAGTGGGGCTAGAGTTTCACAGGAGGGCTCAGAAAACCCGGGTGGATCTTATACTTTCAAGTGTATTCAGGATCGAGAGCCTGGTCCTGATGAGGTCATCTAGCGATGACCACTGCATCTAGTGGGACTGCCTCTCCACCAAACTCAACCAAGCCTTGCGGCTGTGCTGCTGCTTTTCATGACAACTTTCCTGTTCTCCAGGATTTGCTTCCAATGGGTGGCAATACCCATCTCCTCTCCTTGGACAAGAAAACCAATAGGAATGAGTGTCAAAGGGAAACTAGAAAGGGGTTACGTAGGGGGCAAGCAGGTGCAGGGTGGCTCACTTTTTCATCATGCGCTCACTTTCCTTTCTTCCTTCTTATGATTATGATTTAAAATATATAGCTTCTAAAAGCCCAGAGCTACTGACTCAGAAGGTCTATGTGCAAGCCCCATGAATCTCATTTTTTCGGAAGCTCCCCAGTAAGTACTACTTAGACTGACTATGGATTTGCACTGAAAATCGAATGAGTGGGTTAAAGTGTCAGTTACCATTTTGCCACTTGCAGGCTGCTCCATATATAAAGACAGTCCATGTTGAAAGGAAATCAGGTGAGTGGAAGCAACAGCCAGAGTGAAACGGAGGAAGGAGAGACAGGCCCAGAACAGCAACCTGAGAACCTTCATTGTAATGAGTGAGAGACTCAGTCTTACACTGGGAATTTATGTGATTACCTAGTCTTAGGTGAGTCAGGCTGAGAGGATTACAGTTCCTTTGACCCATTCATTTCTTTTTAAACAGTAAGCATTTTACCACCTTAGAAGGCTTTAATCAAACGAAATAAACACATACTTTCAGGGGCTGAGCTATAAGACAAGCACATTCCACCAAAGGCCAACAATTCTTCCTATGGAAGCAGAATTATCAGGGTGATCAAAATGGAAAGGCAGGAAAATGTAGATTCAAAAGTAAAAGGGCAGTATCTGTACCACCATTCAGTCACCTAGAGTTTAGAAAGCCCAAAATGCATGCTCAGAAAGGTGGCAGATGAACACTACATTTGAAAACGGAGAGGACAAGTCACATGAGAATACTCGCAGGCCCTGGCCAAGCACATAGTCTACGCAGAGCTGGCCGGCTGGGCCCAGGCACAGAGGCACACCCCGCTCACCATTCGCTTCCAGTGTTCTTACCTCAATATAAACTATCCAGGAGCAAGAGGGGCAGACACATACTCAGCCAGGGCAAATGCCCACAGGGACCACACCGAGGGTCCGTGGAGATTTACAGAGGGTCTCCCGTGAAAGGGAAGCCTCGGAGCAGGCACCCGGCTGGATTTCAGACCCCGTGTCAAGCAGCTGCCCTGCAGCCTCCGGAGAAGCCTACTCAAGCAGATGCGGACGCTGGGTGAGAAGTAAACCATGCTGAAGGAGGGAACTACACAAAAAGTGGACAGGTGGTTTTCTGTCATTTGCTCAGCGTTCCTCCCCAACTTTTAGCTCATGGTGTTTCCACCACCTGTATGAAAATGTCCTTTAGTCCATGAGGTTCTGGTAAGCCTACCAGGCAGAACACATAATGACAAGTGGCTCAGGCAAGAGCAGAGTCCTCCCGAAGAACTGCGTGTACCTGCAGGCACGCTAGTTCCTGGGGGCGACAACGTGCAGGGGTGACCCAGGAACAGCCGAGGCTCAGCTCCTGCCACTAGTGGATTTCAGCAGTGGGGAGGAAAAACAATCATCAGATGTGCAAAACGGTAACAAAGATAATTTATGACAAAGAGTATGAAAGAACCAGTTGACTTAACAGTAACTGACCTACAGGGCTACTTCAGAGAGGAAGTTGTCTGGGGAGTTTTCTCATTTCCCTGTGGAATGACAGGATTCTGAAGCTGTCACTCTTACCTTCCTCCACAAAAAGCTTTTTCTGTCACTGCCACTCCAGCTGGAGGAAAGGCCATCTACCCCAGAAGGAGAGCTACAGAATCAGCGACGGAGATCCTGACAACATGAACCATACTTCTGTCTCCTTTACTTAAAGCTCCCTGCAACCCTGTTTTCTCCAAATTATATGGGCCAATAAGCCTCACTGCTTCAGCTAGTGTAAGTGATGTTTCTGTCCTAACAGCCATTTATTTTTAACAATGCAATTTAGAAGTGACAGGAATTATTTCGCTACAGGTGCAAACTTGGACCATGTATCACCATCATCAGGCACTGAGGAAAGTGTGTTATTTTTATTTCACCCCAGCTAGTGTCTGAGCATCGGTTATGCCAGTGCCTGCTCATTGCCAAGGCCCATTATCTCCATGAAGAGCCCTTAAAAAGGACTCTTCCTTTACAAAGATCACTTTACTTTAAAAAGAGCACTGAGAAACTCCTCTCATCGAAGAAAGGATTACCATCAAAATAGCTTTGGGGTTGATATTAAAGGCACAATGTACACATATGTCATACATAAAAATCAGTTGCGCTATATTTTAACTCACCCCCAATGAGTAAAATAAGTAAAGTAAAATTGAGAAAATAAGCAAGTAAAATTGAGAAAAGGTTCCCTGGCTTTATAGCACTTACATGAAAGAAGTTTTGTTCACTGTTTATCCCAAGTTCCCTTTTCCTGAAGAATGTATCATCAAACCCCCTTTCTGAGCACACACCCCACACAACTTTTAAACAGCCAGCGCTTTGGTTTTCTCATCTGCTTTCTGACCCCACTCTCTCCCTTCCTGCCATGATCTCACTGCAAGACCCAGCTCCCATGAAAACACATTCATTAGAACCCAGAGGTCCTCGTGCCGTTGCGGGGATCACAGGCCTGGATGGCTGAGACACACTGGACCCCCGAGCCAGCCACAGGCATCATGGCACCCTTTCTCCCTGGGAATCCTCTGGCTCCATTATTTTCACCTTCAGGCCTCCCCGTATTTCTTATCTTTGGCTTCTAACTGTCCCACAATGACGGCATCTTCTAATGGATGATCTAGACCAGCTAAATTATATCTATTCTCCTCTAATGTCCTTGATTCCAATTTAATGTCCTTTATTCAGTTTTCACACTTCCATGCTTTCTACCACACTGCTCCCAATAAAAGTATGTCACTGAAAAGAAATCCACCTAAATTAATGGAGGATGAAAGAAAAGGGCAGTCAAAATTAAAGGCCAAATAGACAGCTAGCAGTTTTGTTATCACAGGTTTAAATATATATAATATGTATTATATATGTGTGTGTGTATATATATATTTAATATATGAATTATGTATGTGTGTGTATTTATTTAATCTGAAATGTTATATGTCTTGGAGAGTCAATTCTCACATGGCAGATGGCATCTTCTTGTGACATCATCCCTTGACCCTCAAAAGTTAAAATCAATATGGATATATAAATGAAATCTTTAGAATTCCAAGTGTGCTTCTCCTGTTCAGCAAAGGTATATATAGCTCATGCAAAAATAGAGTATGGAACTCTTCTGCTCACTTCTTTTAAACTAACCAAGAAGAAAGGAAATATCTGAATAAAGAATGAAGATGAGCCCAATCAGTAACTATTTTAAAGACTTTCATGCATGTAAGTCTCAAAGTGGTCTAAGCAATAGCTCAGTTATGTAATTTACATACATTATCCTATCATTTTTATCATTGTTCAGTTCACTTAAAGTTACATGGAAAAAGCAGTAACAAAAAATTAAAATCACTTGGAAGCTGAGACAGAAGAAATGCTACCTCACAAATACCATCCTCCCTGGCTGAAAAGTTCAACTCTAAAGTTGGATGAAAGTACCTTTTTAAAAATTGTAATACATAGTTAGCT